ATACACACACACATACATACAGGGGGTGATGGATAAATTGTCGTCTAAATTACACAAAAATAAAAATATTATAAATTTATCAAAATTACCCAAAATTATTTTAAAATACTAAAGAGTAAATTTATTCAATAATATCACCATTGGTTTCAACCACGGCCTCCAGATGACTTAAGAATCTCCTGCAACTCTTCTGGATGGTCTCCTTACTTAAGCTCGTGAATCTTTGTCTTCAGTTCATCTTTGGTATTACAAGGAGTTTTGTTGGTTTCTCGATCAACTGCACCTCACACATAATAATCAAGTGGGCTACAGTCTGGAGAGTTAGGTGACCAGATGTCAGGGGTGATGTCATTATTGAAGTTATTTGATGTATCCTAAAAATTGCCACTTGAAGTTATTAGGCAAAACCACATAATCAGATTTTACTTCAATAAAAAGGTAATACACTCATCAAAAATTGATCAACACTTCTAATAGAACAAATAATAAACAGATATAAATTGTTTACATTTTAATATAGTGACTCTTCTTCTCAATAACAGCCAGTAATCTATTATCCATTGATTTTTTTGATTTTTTTTACTTCAACAGGTTCAGTTTCCAACATGGTGGTTTTAATTGCTTCCCATAGGTTTGCTTTGCTGTTATATTGTTTGCCACCTTCATATAATTTCATCTTCACAATTGACCATAATTTTTTGATCAGATTCAAGTCATGTGGTGGCCATTCCATTATATTCTCTTCTGTAAATCTTTTATGCTCAAAGAATTCATGTGTAAGCTTACATACATGAGAAGGGGCATTGTTGTGCATAAATGCAAACTTCACTTTGAAACTGTGAGACTGGGATTTGTGTCATGAAAAGAAAGTCTGGTTCATAAAATCTCAAGAGTACTGTTCATTTTAACTCCTTCATCAACTTTCAATGGTCCAATAATGGTTTGGTCGACAATTCCAATTTATGTCACAATATTACTGCTTCCTTGTTGCCTTCTTTTAGCCACAGGCATGACTGAATTGGAGAAAATCCATCCTTTAGCCCATCCATCAAATGTCACTTGAGATTCGTCCGTGAAAATTACTTTAGAAAAGTTAATTTTCATGTATTTTTTGACCTAATTTTGACACTTTAAAATATTTGATTTAGTGAGAGGAGGTTGCCTAGGAGATTTATTTGCAGATCCCAATTCCCAAAGTATTCTATACCTTTTATTCTTCTTGTCTCCCTCAATTCCAGCCTTTTCAAAGATCTGAGCTCTGGTCAAAAGTGGTTGTTTTGCTATAACTTGCTTTAGTTTATGTTCATTCTTGAGAAAGCAAATTTTTAAAGCCTTTTCCTTTGCTTCAACTTCTCAACTTACTTATATTTTCAACAACTTTCTTTATCATTCAATGATCTCTGCAAAGCTCTTTTGATATCTCCAACGTGGACATTCCCACACACAATAACTTCATTATTTTATGTTTTTCAGCAGTTGTTAGATCCTTCCCTTTATCCATGTTTCAACATATATTATGGACAAAAAGAAAACAGTTTTTATTAGACTTCAGAGGTCTTAAGCTAATATTAGTTTAATCTGCATTAACTTAAGTCAGCCCATTTTCGTAAAATCCAAATATCTCAAAAACTAACCATTAAAAATGGCAGAAAATTGAAGGGTGGAAATGGATGAGTGTAAATTTGACAAATATTGGTTCAAAACTTTTTGAGTTATTGAGGTTTATTTGATTTGCATAATAACTTCAGACAGGCTGTAAACATGTGTATGTGTATATATATATGTGTGTGTGTGTACGCATATACATATTTAAATTTTTGAAGATAACAACTGACATTACATTTAAATTTCTGAAGATCAAAGGTGACTGGAAAGGAAGAAACAAGAAGAGAGTTCCACAAACAAGAAGTGTGAAGGATGAAATTGTTATCATAGAACTTAAGGTTAAAGCTAGCTATTTCAATGGTAAAGTGATAAGACCTTGCTGCTAATCTAGTCAGTTATGTGCTATATGTGATACATGCTTAGGCAATCATGTATCTTTCAATACATGATAGACAAGACAAATTTTTTCCCACAGTAGATAGCCATTTCTATCTGCGATAGACCAGTTGCCATCCAAGGCTATAGAACCTGGTCTGTCCTGCTATTTACCCATAGCTGGGAAGGGAAGAAGAGGATTCATACCTTTCCCAAGGGTATTAGCATGTAAGTGAATGTAATGGATTCAACTGGAATTTGAACTCGGCTCTCCAATTCTTCAATCTGAGCCACTATCCATTACTCCACTGTAGGTAACATAGAAGAAACTTCATCAGAACAATTATCATGAAAATATTTATAGAAAAGCGAAACTACATTACAGTGGTGGGAATATGACTGAAACAAAGATGACAGGTCATGACCACTAACATTGCAGATTCCTTTTGGGATTTTATCAAGAATCTCTAAATACATAATAGAAGCACCAGACCAGATGTGGCAGCAATATACAATGCACAAACAAATGGTAGACGTGTAAATGTGTCAGAGAGATTTTGGTGAGAAAAATTGTTTAGCATGACACAATTAACAAATGTTCCTATCAGCAAACCTAGCAACTGATTCAATATAATCTTTCCACTTTATGTCAGTGTAAAATTTTAGTCCAAGAAGGTGAAGGGTGTCACTCTCCTGGAGGTTAACATCAGCCATGCTGATGGAAGGCAAAAATGGTTCTTTCAGAAGAGAGCAGTTTTGTTTTGGATGCATTAAAATTAACAAGCCATTCCTTGTCCCAGTTAACAACAGACTGTAGGTCATTTTGAGGATCAGCTGTCAACTTGACTTTATCAAATATATATCTTAGATTAATTAAACTTGAAATCAGCTAATCTTCCTCAAATAAAGTTTCAGAAAAGTATTTTTTGGAAGATCTTTTAATAAAGAGAATTATGTTGGGTTAAGAGATTTGTAAATATGCCCCAAAATCTGCCATTTTGGCAATTTATGAAAAAAACTCATTCAAATCAATTTAAATTCATTTGGAAATACACCAAAAGTATTTTGCTTACAGAAATATTAAATTTAATCTATTAGCTTGAAATAAAAACTAAAATAAAAGCTTCAAGAAAGATTTTTCACTTATAAAAATTCATTTTAAATCTTAAGTATCATTTTTGGGAGATAACTATATATATATATATATATATATATATATATATATATATATAATTTAATTTGTATTTTTTCATTGTCTCTTACTTTCTTACATCCTACCCATCCACGCTTTTTTTCCTCTATACTCCTTACCCTCATTTCTATGCCCAATTCTTTCTCACTTTATAATATTATCTAGGCTTCTCAGTCAGAATGTGTAATTTATTCCAGCTCAGAAGGACTGGAGATTGGATACAACCCCACAGAGTAACCTTCTATTTTGAGTGTTTTTTGGGCCTTATATTGGGTGAACATTACTATTAAAAAATGCTATATATACACAATAAATATTATTTGTTTATTATCATTAATTTTGTCTTTTTTTCTCAATTTTTTTTTGGTTGCCTAATATATATATATATTGCAAATGGCTGACAAGGAAGATTTAATTAATCTATTATTGAGTTTTCCAGCATTCTATCATTTTTTTTTCCTTTTTTAAGAGTTAAAGAATATAAACATTGTCCAAAGTTATTATTGTTCTGTGCACTTTCAGCTACTTTTATAGCCATTATCAAGGATGTTATTTTTTATATGGTGAATTTCCATGTCTTATCTTCTACATATTAAGCTATGTGGAGTTCGTGCGTAGGAGTGTGTGCTTTTTTGGCAGTCATATGCTATACACCACAGGTTGACCTGGGCATGACTTCTGTTTTTAGAAAACTTTTAACATGCCATTTCCATTGTTTAGTGTAAGATTGATAGCAGGGGAATGGTATTTAATAAGTAATGCTTCTCTAATAGTAAGTTGTCAATGACTATGTGATTTGAAAAGAATTTTTGTGTTATCGACTAGAATTTTCCTTAAGGGTTTTTGTAAATTATGGGTTAATAAATGCTTACTAATCACACTCTGCTTCAAGAGGTGAAATGTAAGGCATCTACTAAAGGAGGCAGTAGTGTGTCTGATATAAGTAATTGATTTTTGACAAGTAACACTGTCTTGTACTGGGCATTGAAATTGGTACACTGTATTGGTCACTGCTAGTTTTGATTTGGTGGGATTATTTTGGTTAGTGATGACAAGGTTTGCAGTCTTCCATTTTCTATAATATATTTTAAATTTTATAAAGTTTATAATATTTCTATAATATATTATAAACTTTATAAAGCCGAATCATCTAACATCACATTTTACCTTGTTTTGGTGTCAGGAATCTGCCTTCAAAGTTTGTAAAAGTATTTTTGATACACTCTCTCTCTCTCTTTCTCTCTCTCTCTCTCTCTCTATATATATATATATATATATATATATATATATATAACACTTGTTCCCCTGATCATGCCTAGCAATTTACATAAGATGCTCTTCATTTTCCTGGATTTGCATTCAGGTTAATTAAAGATAATTGTGTTTTTTCTTCAAGTGTATATTTGTGTATGAATTAATCATTACTTGAAAGATATCTTATTTTCTTTATAATCTATTTACATGTGCATTACTTACATGTTTCATTTCCAAATTACAATGATGCATTATGCAATTAGTGACAACCTGCCATAAATATGCATTTGATGCAATAATCAGTCCAACTGATTGATATTTTTTTCTATGGCTTATCAACCCATTACCAGTTATTTAAAACCAGAAAATATTTTTGGATTGCAAGAATTTTTGGAGATAATTATTAGTTGCAGATTCAAGTCCTATTATTTAGCCCTTAGCTGGAGGGAAAAGAGGTAGATTCATAACTTCCCCAAAGATATTTGTGCATAAATAAAAGCTGACTGGTATTTGAACTTGGCTCTCTGATTTCCAATCCCAAGTCATTATCCATTACACCACCACATATCCACCCTTACAGCATCTGGTATTCTCAAGTGGTCACCCATCTAGGTACTGACCAGGCTTGACATTACTTAACTATGGTGATCATATGAAAACCAGTGTTTCAACATGGTGTGGCCATAAACCCTGGTCCTTCAGCATTGGATTGAGTCAATAATAGTAGAAAAAAGTAACTGAATCTCTATTTACCCCAGGTTCTCTTATTGTTGATATGTCCTCAGAAAGCCCTTTTTGTATTATTATGTATCCTTGAAATTTCAACTGTCTTTTTCTTATTATAAGTTTCCTTGTTCCTATTTTCCTGAAGACTTATATGCTAAACTCTTCTGTCCATTGTATTCTCAGCATCCGTTAGAAGAGGCGCATCTCTTCAAATCTCTTCTTCATCTATGAGGACATTCTCCAGCATTTACTGCTATGTAGGTGATGAGATATCACATTGCTGTTAAAAACCATTCTATAGTTTCTACCGATATTTTCTTATGTTTTAGTACATTTCTTAACTTCTGGAAAATCAATGTTTCAACATGATATAGCCAGGCCAAACTAAAGTTATGGCTTAAGACAATACATAAAACAAATGCATTAACTCAATTTAGAGAAAGATAAATAATAATTGTACACACACACACAAATTCCTAGAAAGTTACCCAAATTGAAAAACACCTGAAGAAGGCTGGAGTGCACAATGGCCAAAACATTGTGAAAATAACAATTAAGATGAGGATATTTGTCCAAATATAAACATTGTAAATATTACTGCATTTATGACTAAGGTGTAAAGAAAAGTAAGTTAAAAGAAACGCAATTACAAGATTAATAACAACAATAGTGAAATTTTTCAAATGTTCTTTGTATACAATGAATTATCATTAACTTGTGTCGATTGACAACAGTATTGCAGTTTTACTGCAAAGTACGTTGTCTAGTAACGCAAATCGTTATGTACACAACTCAATATTACTTGATCGAATGACACTGGTCATTCAGTTTTGATCTATACCTGGAAGGCATTGTTCAAGTGAACTGTGAAATGTGGCCACGTCAAACTACTTTTATTTGCACAGCTGCTGTGTTCCACTGAAGTTGGATGCATCAAGTTGTCATTAAGTATTAAGCCAGCGGGTTAGGTACTGTCCAACACACTCTAGTGGATAAAATTTCTAGCTAGCCAGCCATATCACACCTCACCCTTGAGCCCAGACAAACATTTCAGGAGGAGGTGGTCTCTTTCTAACATAGTTTGTATTCAACTCTCTAACAACTCCTTCATACATTTCAGAGCTATAATTATCCAATCAGGTATTATTACTCAACAACTAACCAAGTCTTAGGAAAGGCTGGAGTTTGCCACTTACGTTTGTAATTGAGAGAATTTTTTTACAAGTACTTTAATTTACTGTGTAAGCTCTTAAATTGTATGTCTTGTTTCAAAAAGGACTTTTATTTCTAGCCAACATATATGTAACTGTCACATTCAAAACTTAGTAACTACCTTATTTGTGCAAATTCAGTTCCAGAGGTAAAATGTTTTAATATTTTTTTATACTAATTGTTCATTATTTACAGGAAAGGACACAAAGAGTGTGAGTTCAATACCCGGTTAAGGCAGTGGAGAACTTTCAGAGGGAAATTAACAGGAGATAACTGATAACTGACATCCATCAAACATGGCACATGGAACTAGAACCGTCTACCCCGGTGAGCGAAATAAAGGGTTCAGTTCAACATTCCAACCACCTGAAGAAGGCCAGAGCATACAATGGCCGAAACGTTGTGATAAATATGGCGACAAAGATGAGAACAATAGTCCGAATAATGTAAATAATGTACATAATACCTCATCTCAGAAATATAGACAGACACTAATTGTTCATATAATACTAATTGTTCGTCCAATACAAGTCTCGGGTTAACCCAAGCCTTGTTACTAAAACTGGGTAGATGGAACTATTTAGAAACCATTGATGGTTGTGCTAGTATGAAGTTGTAAGTAATTATGACCGAGTTTTTTTTCCCAAAAACTATAACTAAGGTCTGCTCAGGATAGTTGTAGTATAAACCACAGGTGGGGTCTGTAGGTGTTGATCAAACACAAATTTGCCTGAGCAGCCATCTGCAATGAGGATTGGCTAGCTGCCCTAATAGACAGGCATACTCCGATACAAGTCTCAAGAGCCACTCAAGGTAGAGGGTTAATGAATGAAGTTATTGTATGAAAAGAGTAGGAGGTAAGAATGCAGTTTATGAGAATATACAGGAAAGATCGCAGTTGACCCAAAACTTGAAGAGGCTAGATTGTAGCAATCAGGGAAGCATCATCTTGGGAGTCTGATCCACAAAGTAGCAGTTCTTGCGAAGAAGCCGTCTCAATGGATCTTCCTTTTTACACATTGAATGTTAAGGAAATAGGGATGATTTTTCCAGTGTACGTGGTATGCAGGGTCTCAGTTGTAAAGGTCTGAACTGGTTGAACTAATGAATCTCACTTGTCAGAACATTTACCATAGTAGTGAGAGACTTGAAACATTTTGTCTGTGTGAAAGGAGTTGGAAGACAGAAAATACTTCATCACTCATGAAGTCATATAAACAACCTTGAAGTATGTTAAGGAGAAAAAGTGAGAATTGTACACCTCCAGCCCAGAAATGGCAAGTATTCAGACAAGAGTTTTACTAGTTCAAACCTTTACACCAAGACATGCTTTTCTACATCCACAGGGTTGAATTACCCTCATTCACTTTGTATTTCATTCATAGGAAGGAAGTTCCACTTAGAATCTCCCACTACTTTGCAGAACATAATACAATGTGGATGTTTCACCAAATACTACAATCTTAACTTAAGTATAATGTCAATCATTATCTCTTCTTCATGTTGTCATAATCTTCACTTCCATATTCATGTCAGACATTGCATTCAGTAACTCTCTTTCTAGAGTGGCTCTTGAGCCTTGTATTGGGTGAACCATTTAAAATTCAGAAATGGTTACTGAGTATGCCTGAAGAAGACAAAAGTTTACAACAACTTTATTATGAGTATAACAAACAAGATGAGTGTCCTCATCTGGATATAAAAGTAGATAATGAAAATATTTAATCGGGTTAGTTTTATCTGATACAAAGCTACAATGGAAGGACAACTAGTAAGGCTCAAAGTCACAAAAGCCAAGATGCTTTCTGAAACTATCTTGCAAGACATTGCTTTATGGCAAGCCGAGGTATCCTAAATAATTATGGTAGTTATGCTTTGTGGTCACATATGGGAAAGAATGAGGGAGAGAAAGAGTCCCTAGAGGAAGTAAATATATATCTATATGTTGGTTGGTTGATTTTTTTTCTACAGCATATCAATACTTTGCAGGCTATTTACAGCCAGAAAATATTTTTAGATTGTAAGAACTTTTTGAGTGGGGAGGAGATAATAATGGTTTAATGATACAAGTCTTACTAATTAACCCATAGTTTGGGGGAGATGAGGTGGATTCATACCTTTACCAAAAGTATTTCTGCATAAGTGCATATAATAAACGCAACTGGAATTAGAACTCAGCTCTCCAGTTAACAATTTCAAGCCATTATACATTACACCACCCACACATCCAAGTTTACAGCACTTGGTATTCCTAAGCGGTCACCCATCTGGGTACTGATCAGGCTTGATGTTGCCATGTATATACATACAGACATACATACAGGTGTACAACTGTATGTATCTATGTCTTTGTGTGTGAGTGTGTTATTCCAAATGGACACAGAGAATTTCCTCCCACCACCACCAAGCAAAATCAAACACAAACAAGCATAAATAGATCCAATTTTTAAATAATAAACCAGCTTGTCTGATGATCACATAATGTGAAACCCAGTGTCACAAACTCATATCCATACAACTGAATATATATATATATATATATATATATATATATATTTAAATTCTAAATAATACAGTCAACAACGCTCCAATATAAATATGTATATGTCTTGCACAAAAAAATATTGAAAAATTAAAATTTTCAGACACACTGTGTTGTATATTAATATTTTTTTTGTTTTATTATTTCAATTAGGTTCCTCAATGAGTTTCAGCCAACATGGCCATCATCAGTGTGTATATATATATATATATATATATATATATATATATATATATATATCTGTGTGTATGTGATGTGTGTGTGTGAGTGGGAGAGAAAAGAGAGAAATAGAATGAGGATAGATACCACAATAAATTTGGTGATTCCATTGGTCACTATTGCTGTTCCTGCAGGCTTATGGCCACAACATGTTGAAACACTCATTCCTGCAGATTAACTCTCCCAGAAATTGTAACTAAGGTCCACTCATAAAAATTGCAGTATAAATCACAGGTGGGCTCTGTAAGTTGATCAAGCACCTTTAATATGCATTGTGTAGACGTTCTGGAAGATAGGGGTGCTCAGAAACAAGTAGTAGCCAGCCACTGATATCTCTATCTATAAAAGGCAGGATGTGTGTGTGTAACAAATGCACAGCCGCAATTTTCGACAGATTTACACCAAAATTTACATGCACATGTTTCAAGTTAGTGGGAAAGACAAGATTGACTTTGCATTTCCTAACTCCCATCAATAGTGGAAATAATCAATTTTTTCATGCTTCTACGGCAGTTTTCGTGTAGCTTGTGGCCATTTTCTACTGGCCAGAGTGAGAGCCTATAGCTGGCTGCCACGAATAGGCAGGAAGATTCTATTGGCCAGCGTGAGAGCCAACAGCTGACTGACACGAATGTTAACTAGCATGCTAGCATGCAAAAAAATCAATAGCTGTACTCGTCACAAGTGGGAAAAATTTAAATCTGCATGGCACTTTACTCCAATTGGCTCATTCGCTTCCTTAAACTCAACATTGATTCTGATTTCGCAGAACTGGGTTGGGTGTGAAAAAGTATTTGTTGTTAACATTCTTTTTTTATTCGGTTTTTCCAGTTACGAGTCCTTTTTTAAAGCTGATCGTTTTGTGTTGATTTTGTTTAGTTCCTTTTTTCATAACAGATTTAATGTTTAGTATAGAGCTTAGAAAAAATTCGCAATGTGAGATAGGCAAGAAGTAAGGCATGTAGCAACATCAGCATGGCAAAGGGC